TGTGTCTGTGTGTGTCTGTCTGTCTGTCTGTATCCGTCCATCCGTCCCTCTCTCTGTATCTTTGTCTCTCTCTGGCTCTGTGTGTCTGTATCTCTCTCTCTGTAGCTCTGTCTCTCTGTCTCTCTCCCTCTGTCTGTCTGTTTCTGTCTCTGTCTCTAAGTCTGTCTGTCTGTCTGTCTCCCTCCCTCCCTCTCCCCCTCCCTCTGTCTCTCTCTCTCTCTCTCTTTATGATTTTGTGAAAATATTAAATTCACTGTGTTTTAATTAATTGCCCTAGTTTTTATTAATTATTATAAAAGCCATTAAGAAGCAGTTATATAAAAAATGTCACAGGGTTATTTAAAAAAATAAAAACTTCCTCAAATGAGAGAGAAGACAGAATTTCATAAATATAATCCTTTTGTGAGTGGCCCATACTTCTCTACATGCATGCTTTGATGACCTGACCTCTAGTGTGACTGAAACTTTTGTGTTTCTGTGTAAAAATTAATAAATGTTCATTTTGTGTATAACACATTATAATGAGTATTAACATTATTATTATATTAGACTACTACAGTACACAACATGATATGACACTTGACTGTGTAGTGTTAGTGTCTTTATTATCCTGTCTTCTTTTTATAGTATGGACTCACTCCTCTCATATGGGCAGCTGTTAAAGGTCACACACATGTAGTGACAATGCTCCTTGAAAAAGGAGCAGATCTCACTGCCTCTGATGATGTAAGTATAATCATTAATTATACTCCAATAGTGATTGTACATGTATATCCTTTTGAGTTGGTGGATTAAAGTAACCGCAGGTTCTGTATATCTCATACAGTGTGTGTACATGTACATGTATAGCTTAATGTACTCTACTGTATCACTTTATGGAAAGCATTTTTATTAAAATAGTTATTTTACGTCAATAATTTTTTATTTTAGTAAAGCAAGAAACTTTTGTGGCCTGAACTTTTTAAAAATGTAATACTAAAAAAAAAGTTTTTAAAAATTGAATTTTTTCGGAAATTCTTTTTGGGTGCCGATTCTCAAAAATTTTAAGTATAAAAAAAATTTAAATTTTTGATGGTAATGACCTTTTGATTTTTAATTTTTAAAGTTTTTAAAATTGAAGAAAATTGAGATTCTTAATAATTTTGAATAAAGTATGGAAAGGAATTTTTGTAAATTTTAAAAAATTTAAAATGAAGCATTAAAAAATTAAAAAATTAAAATTTGCTTTGTTTAACATTTGTTAAAATTTAAAGTTTCAGAAAAATTACATTTCTACATGGTAATACTTTATAATGTTACATGTATAATAGTATAATAATGTCAGATAGACTTACAAGAGGCCAGTGGGCATTGACATCTTCTTTGGTATGGAGGACATACTTAGAATGTAGTTATACTGTGCATGAATATATAATGTGATCCACCCACTCAAATTGATGAAATTATATCACTTACCTACTGGGGCAGTATCTGATTTACAGACACCTCCCACTAGGACACTATGGTCCCTTGTGGTCAGTGTCTGTATTGACATCAACTTAAATTAATATTACGTTTATTGATCAAGCATCAAAATTTAAGCACCTTGAAAATTTTTATCCCAGTCATGAAGGTTTCTCAATCTACATGTATAGTAACTGAGTTTATGGCTATAACCAAGAACATTTTATTGATACTGCAACAGTGTAAATATACATGTACATGTACATGTAGACTAGTAGTATTGTACATGTAATTATTTATATCAGTAAAATGTATACTTGTACACTAAATGTACCTCCACTGTCTCTAACATACTCAATACTATGGAGTATTGAAGACAGACCAACAATTAAAGTTGGTTTTTAGTTTGATTGTGATAACATTGTACTATCATGTTAATCAATGTTTACCTTGTATAGTTTGGTAGGACTGCTCTTTATTGTGCTGAACAAAGAGGTCATTCTGATACTGCCACCCAACTGAGAGTACACTCAGGTAATGTATTTATTAGTTTATTGAACTGATGTTATTATACTGTATGTAGTACTGTATTGTTAGTAAATTTTATGAAACAGCTTGAGTCATCAGCTACTGCTTCCTCCCTTACCATGTGTACAATTCATTTAAATGATAAAAATGTGTCACATTATTATCTGTTGTCCATTCCTTCCCTATTGATGTATGATGTAAGATGTAGAGGGTGTGGCATGATGGTCAGTACATGCTCCTTCATAGTAAATTGTATGTGATGTCACATGTTAGTATCATTGTTTACCCAATGACTGTAAAACATTAGTAGTGTCATTTTGGTGTCTTATGATGCTTGATCCCTCTCCTTTGTTAGAAACCTAATCTTTTTTATTGTTGATACAGTTACAGCATGTACATTCACTATTAGCTTCTTCTATGGATAAATTGTGTATTAGTTATGTAGCAATAGCTTATAGTGTATAATGTGTATATTAATGCATGGTAGTTGTATCCCACTATTAGGTTACTATTGTTCCTCTTATGTACTCTTATGCATGTACAGTACAGTCCCTCACAGCTGATGTGAGCCACACTGATGTACACAGTACACTTGGTATGTGTACTGGTATGTACTTGTATGTATTGGTAAACTTTGTACATGTTTCATTTCTCAAAAACATGTACATGTACAAAACTATGTCATACCCATTACATGAACATGCATGTGTCTTATTGGTAGGTTGTTGCTCATAATAATGACACATTTAACTTAATTTCTATAGAATCAGTTTAGTACATGTATTGTAAGACTATTCCTGGTCTGCATGTACATGTACGTATGATAAACTGGAGAATAAGAAGTGATAGATCCTGAGCAGGTCCTGATAATAATAGCCTAAATTGAACAAGCCTGTACTCATGAGTGTACGTGTACAAACTAACCTGTGAATAATTCTCTGTTTATGTTTTAGCTGCTAATGAGAATACATGTACATGTACATGTAAGTTGTTTTGATAACACCTTGTCACAATCATAATTGAATCCCATTTCAATACAGCATAATGACTTGTATAATTTATATGTGTACAGTCAATAGTTGAGTATTATGTAGAGCTTTTATATTAATGATACATGTACATCATTGGCCTCGCCCAGCTTTGCGTAGGCGAGGACTAGTTACTCGGTTTGTCTGTCTGTGTTTCATTCATTACCCGAGCCACGCGTAGGCGTGAAGCGAGGGTAAAGCAGTCATTTTGTCTGTGTGTTCGCTTGACCTCCACTTTTGAGCTGATATTGCTTTCTTGTGAAATCCTGGATAGCCTTATAATCAAAGCTAGCTATAGAAAAAGTTATTCTTTGTCTGGAAAATGGCTTGACTCGTCTTCCCGAGGCAGAGAAAGCTCACAATATCGCCAAATGTAGTCGGTGCAAATATATCTTTTTCGTGGTGAAAGCTAAAAAGCAGCAAGACAAATGAAGCGATAGAACAAAGCCTCATTTTTAAATAATATGTAAGAAATTGCTCCAATCGTCTTCGTTTTAAAGATATGATAGCCCAAACTTTCATACCTTGTGAGTTTAGACGAGGCTATCTTCTCCCGAAGTAGCGGCCAGAGTCTTTAAACACCAGAGACTAGATAGCAGTTTGTATGCAACAAATAGAGCCTAACAAATGTAAGCTAAACTGTTTAAAAGTCGAGAAAAACTAAAGCTTTCTTCACCACTTATGGCCATGTGCCACCATTACTGTGTGTGCGGGTGGAGCATGGCTTAATTGAGCCACACCTTGATTGCAGCCACACCTTTACATTGCTGCAGCTAGCATGCAGCAGTGCAGCAAACATGCTGGAGCTTCTTCTCTGTCTAAAAATACAAATCAATCTCTGTCTCAAAACATTCACTAAGTTTTACTAAATCTAGTACATGCTGTAACTTATTCTCAGTCTCAAAACTTTCACTATTTTCTCTTACTTTGTTAAAACTGTTACATACATATTGTGGCGAGGGTACGCACTTTAGTGCTCTCGTTCATTCATTCATTCTGTGTGCTCTTATTTGTCTTTGAGAATGTATATCTTTACAATTGCGCACTCTAAATCTGTGGGAGCTTCTCTTCTGTTAGGAAAAGTCTTGCCTTACTGCTTCGAGATATTTAGAGAACAGCTCTAGGTAGTACAAGCTTTTTAACTCAAGAGAAATTGCCCAGAAATAGCGGTAGTACTCTGGAGATAAATGAGACTCTTTACCAGTAGATCAAGACTAGTTATTCATTTAATATGTGTGGAACTCTCTAAATCTTTCTTGTTGGTGAGTTATGCCTACTTGAATTTTATCCCGAGTAAAGTGCTGTAGCCGTAGTTTGCTAGTCTAAGGATCCTAAACTCTCTCAAGTCACTCAATCTATCTAGGCAACAGTATTTGTGCCATTATAATGTCATATAGCGCTTAGAAGAAGAGAAAAAACTCTGAAGCTTCCTACTCACATGGTCTTGCTGCATTATTGATAATTAATGCCACGCCTCCAAGGTGGAAGTTGCTGGAGCCTGGGCCCTGGAGCAGCTTGCCACTTCTGCAAGCATGCAAGAGCAAGTGTAGCTGCAGCTAGGAAGCTAGCTGTTATGATAATTCCTTGGCCTCAGGAGCACACTTTCTAAATTTTTGCATAGTATGCTTTTGATAGATAGTGGCCACAAAAGCTGTGGTTTTGAAACCCATGATGTTGTTTTTGAAATGAGAGTGCAATAAGTAAAAATATAGTGTATAAGTAAGTGATAAATCTTGAGATGCTAAGAGGAATTTATCAATACATTTTACCAATTTTTGGAAGGACTCCAGAGTCCCATCATACTTTTCACACTTGCCTAGTCAGGCTGTCACTTTTGATCTACATGTCTATCATTTCAATATACTGGCTTGGGCTAGCTCTAACACATCATTTTTTGTGTGTACTGGTTATTAATTTAAAGTATTTGTATCATGTGAAGCCATACGATGAAAGGCACCGCGTTGGGTTTATATCTGGTAGACGATCACTTC